GGTTTGCCATTGCTTCCTTCCTAGGGCTGAGAGAGAGTGACTGGCCCAAGATCACCCAGCTAGCTTTGTGCCTAAGTGGGACTAGAACTCACGGTCTCCCAGTTCCTAGCCTGATGCCTTAACCACTACACCAAACTGGCTCTCATAAAATGGAATAGACAAAACAAAACTAGAAAACCAAAGAAAATAGCCCCATAAACTGGAACAACGGCATATTTCCACTTGCAACTGCCTGGCCTGCTATAATAATATGTGGGGCAGACGTCAGTATTTTTTAAGATTCTAAACACAGCTGTGCACAAACCATGCCTGCATTATCACTGTGATGCTGAGAGGCAGGCATATGCCTTACATTACACTAGCTAGAGCTGAGAGGAGGGAATCATTACCGTATCAATGAAAGGTACTTGCCTAACTATTTTCCATTATTAATTTTGTTTATCAGGATGACTCCTTGAAATGTGATGCAGGATCCATTTCTAGTACAGCTCCTGATATTTGTATAGCATACAAGCTTCATTTGGAGTGTGGCAGGTTGATTAACCTGGTTGACTGGTTGGAGGTAGGTAAAGTGACATAGTGGACACCTACTACTCTGCTGAATGTCTTTTTAAGCCTTTCATTCATGCTGACCACTAGAGACTGTATAAAACTGCAGTGCTTTCAAATCAAATCTTTATTATGGTCATACACCAGCATAAGGAGGGTGGGGTATAGTCAATTAAAAAGTATAGAAGATACATCAGTGCAGTGCCTTCATGTTCTTCCAGGTTGTGTTAAATCACAATTCCAGGTTTTTAGTACCAAGATTCAGTAAATTCATGCACTAGTAGTGAGGCTCATCTCCCATCTGCTAAGCATCTTCCACAATTCCCATTTTTGGTCATATTTTCTCTTATTGGAAGAGAAATTACACTTTGTCACTGTTGTTTGTTTTAAAGAAAACAGCAAGGAAGATGAGATGCTCCTTTCTCAACAGGTTTAATTCTCTGGAGGAAAACAGAACAGAATGTGCCTTCTGTTTTGCAAGCTGGGACTTTGGGAAGAACAAAAACAATAGCAGAGCTCACTGCTCCTTCTGGCAAAAAGATGGAAAACAGACTCTACATTTCTTGCTCTTTGTGTTGAGTTCTTAAAGGAAGGAGCTGTGAGGCCCAGCTAGTGCTAAGAGAGGAGCCGCTTTACTTTTCTTCCACTTCCTTGGTGGAAGGAAGGGCATGTGATTTTTCCTCCCATGGACTGGACTTTTGCAGAATACACCAGCCATAATGTGTTGCTGCTTTTTACAAAAACTGAAAAAAGAGGAGAGAAAACATTTTTTTTGTTACGTTTTTACAAGTAGTAGTGGTGTCTTTCAAAAGCCTAACTCATTGGAGCAAAATGAGATTTTCTTTCATCCACAGGAAGCTTATTTTCTGCCTTGCAATCTGGGCAAGCAGTTTCTATAGTTTCTCATAGCATTCCAATAGAAATGAAAAGAAACAATTTATTTTTCTTACGTTGCGGTAGGAAGAGAAGTAATAGCTTTTCCTTCTTTTTGTTTTTTGCACTGGCAAAAGTGATGTATTGGTGGTGATTTTGGCATAAGCACAATTTGCAAAAATTTCCTATCTATGGGGAAAAAAGGGTAGAGTCTGAGTTTTGTTAGAGATAGCTGCAGTGACATGCTACATTCCTTTAGCAAATAGCAATAAGGGTATGTTTTCTGAATAAAGCAGGATTGGGGATAGATGGGTAAGAACTGAGACAAATAATGAATGTGGATAATAAAGCCAACCTTTTACCTCTGCTTAGGACTCTCCTTTTATTTGGTTTTGTTCCACCTTTATGGTGTGTACCCACTTAAATAAGGATAGCAACTATTTTGTGACTTGTGAGATTTGTTCTGGAAATTTACAGGAATATTTGAGAAACACCATTAATCAACAAATTTGTCTTAGTTAAAAAAAACACTAAAATATATACAGGTATTAACTCTCCCCTGTCTTCGTGCTTGGTGTTTCCACTGGCAAAAGTGGAATGTATTGGTGGTGCCTCTAACAATGACAATGTAGTATATAAGCTAGAGTGTGAACTTCGTACATGTTTTCTGAATGTTTTTACAAAGCTGGTGTTATTTCTCTAGGCTTTTTCAACAGTTGTAACTGCAGCTGGAAATACAGATTCCACAGTCAAAAACCAGACAGATGATATTATCCAGTATCCTTTTCTGATACTCTTATAAGAAAATTCACTTGCAAACTACAGTGTTTCTTTATGACAAATACCTTGACAATAGATTGTAAAAAAAAAGAGCGAAGTAAAACATTTTACAGATTATACCAAGCTAAGGATTGGTTAATGTTTTAGAGGATGAAATCACAATTCAAAATAACCTTGACTGACTTGAACATTAGGCAAAATCTATAAGGATAATGTTCAGTTGTGACAAGTGTAAGGCCATGCGTGTGAGGAGGGCCTAGGACTACCAGCAGACCTCCAGATGAACACAAGCAGTGTAATGCAGCGACTAAAAAAAAAACAATAGAATCTTGGGCTTTATTAATTTATTATTCTCTCCAGATGACAGAAGATAATAGTTCTTTTATACTTGCACTGGTTAGGCTGCATTTGAATTGCTGTATCTATTTCAGGACACTGCACTGAGACAGGGAAAAACTGGAGTGGGTTTAGAAGATATCTATCCGGATGTTAAGGGGTCTGAAGGGCCCTATGCAAAGTAGTTAAAGGTGCTGGACATGTTTTATCGTGTAAGAAAATACAGGAGAGACAAGAGTCAGGCTGAATATTCAGACAGTCTTGCTGGCAAGAGTTGTTAAGTGATGGAATAGCCTGCTGAGAACAGTGATAAACACCCTCTTCACTCAGGGTTTTCAAATAGATGCTGGACAAAATAATGTAGTGGGTTCCTGCACTGAGTAGGGTGCTCAACTAGACGACTTATATCTCTTCCAGCTCATACGCACCAATTCTATTTTGCAGAAATCTCCAATTCCAACTTCTATAAGCATAACAGAGCACACCCAGACTTTCTGATTTAGGTGTGATCTTCCAAAAAGCTCCAAATGTAAGCCAATTGAGGTTAGTTCCTGAGAAACAGCATCAGGAATTAGCTTGCTAATATTTCAGCAGTTTCATTCAAATGATTGTGAAACTGCAGTCTTTTACTTACCCAGGAATAAAACCCATTGAACTTCTTGTAACTCATCTACAAAATTCCTGTGTATTAGCCCCTCTGAATTCAGTTGAACATATTTCTGAATATGCAGCAGAGATTATAACATTATTATGCAATTTGGAGACAGATTTCGGAGGACATGAAAGTAACTTTTCACAGGCGAAACAACTGTATCTGAAGTATATTTGATTTAGGTCATAACATTGGGAAGAAAAGTGCTATGGCTCTCATACTTCCTTTTACCTCTGCAAGTTGGCTTCAGATACTACCTCCCATAAATAGTAAAGGCTCATTCTGAGAATCCCACTGGCAAACACCAGAATAAGGGAATTTCAGATTAGTCTGTCTACTCTAACAGGTTAATGAGGAAATTAATGAACATCACTTTTTCTTTCTGGGAACCTTAGATTATTGAGGATGCTAAGCAGTAGACGCAAACAGGAAGGGCTTTACCATATAGAGTAAATGTTTAACCTACTCTTGAAGGTAAATTCCAGAGATATCCAAATTTGCTGTGATAGTTGATGATGTATATTATGTGGTAGGTTGAGCATACATAAAAAATTGTATGGCTGTTGCAAAGAAGTGTGTATGAGCAATCTATAAACATGTTAAATTGCACAGTAAACCATCCCAAATTTGTTCAGTATGTATAGTAAGTTTATTATCTTGTTTGATGGAAATGCCGTTTCCTTGACTAGAACTCCAAGTGCTCGTTTCATTAGAGCAGTATCAGAATTGGAATTTTTGGGATTCATAAAACCAACAAAACAGAAAACGGATCACGTGGCAAGGCTGACATGGGGTAGTTGCTAATATGTTCTTGTGAGAATGAAAGCTCATCCGTGAAACAAGATTTTCTATGGCATTAATACCAATGGCATCATTACAAGAGAAATCATATTTTCTACTGTGATACCAGCCATAATAAAGGACACAAAATGACTTCCTGGATTTTGTTTCTTTCTTAGGTAGACACAGAAGTATTTGCTTGTATAGAAGCAAGATAACTGATACCTTCTGGCTCAAGATACAGTTTATGATTTTTCAGACAGGGCATGCCAGTTCAAGCCCATCTCTTCATCACTTATTTTTTTGTCTTAACCATGAGCATAAATAAATAAGAAGGATAATACTTTCCTGATACAAATACAATGCATAGATGCTTTAATTCTAGGAGGTGGCTATGGGCTTTTATTGATGTGCTTTAAGAGAGACTGAAGTCTCAACAAAAATCAGCTTTAATATTCCTGCACATATAGCGATTACACATAAATTTAAAGAATTGACTGGTCATTATTCTTAATTGCATAAAAGAAATGAAAACTGATGTTCAGTACAGTCCATCAAAGAACAGATCATTGTAAGCTTGATCCCCTCCCCAAATCTTAGCTACTTTATTTTTTCCCCCCCAAGGATAGTAGGAAAACCCTGATATTTCAATCTGCCTCTATTTAATCTTCCACATGCTGAATATTCATTGTTATTTGGGCAATATATTTACCTCCCTTTAATCTACTCTTCCTTAATTTTAATTTTTTTCCTTGAAAAGATTTTGACACTTTGTGTATCATTTTAAAAATAGCTATTCATACAAGATGGCTCTAAATTGCAACAAATGCTCAATTTGGACAGTTGATTTGGTTTATATCTATACCTTATGCTTACATTTCTCTGTGTAGTTAGTCCTCAATTTACGACTATTTATTCAGTGACTGTTCAAAATTATGACAGTACCGAATGGACTTACAACCCATGCCTAAAGTTACAAGTATTGCAGTGCCCCCATGGTCACATGATCAAAATTTGGGCACTTGGCAGTCTGCCTGCACTTATGACTGCAGGGGTGGCTCTGGCTTCCCAGGGTGTGGCAAGCAGCCCCAGAGCTGTGTGGTTCTGGGGCTTCTTGCTGCCCCACAAGGCAGGGTGCAGGGCAGCCAAAAGGGCAAAGATGGGGAGATAGGTGGGTGGGGGGAATTGGAGGCAGTCCCTTACCTTACTGAGGCTGAGGGCTGGGAAGGACCAAGCCTAGAATGTTTTGGATGGGGTGGGTACTCACTTAACAATCCATGATTCTTGGTTGACGGTGGCAACCGGGACTGCCATTGCTAAGCAATGAGGTCACATGACATCTCGCTTTATGACTGTACTTAGCAATGGAAATTCCGGTCTCAATTATTGCTGTAAGTCAAGGATTACAGCTCAAACACCTGAAGTAAAACAAGGGTAAATGATCCACAAACACTTCAATAGATAACTGACCTTTGTTCACCTGGTTTATTCAGGGCTTTCAATCTATTGCTACTTTCCGTCTATCAAGACAGCAATTTAGATCACTCAGGCTTCAAATGAGACTTCCTTTTAGCAGGCAGCAGGGTTGCAGAGTCTTCAAAAATGCATACTTCCGGACTTTCCTGCTAGCTTGAAAGAAAGGCACTAGAAGATGCTGCTGATTTAAGAGTCAGTTTAACTTCACTGAGCGAATTCCTTAAATCCATGGCACCTTCCCTTCAGGCTTTGTCATCCCTGAAAAAAGCGCTACTTTGTACATTAGATTGTCCACGTCA